CTGGGTCGTACGATCGAAAGTGCAATATCCAATGTTGGAATAAGTTTTTGTGAGGGTTGCCCGGCCGCGGGTTGCTGCGCAAAAGCTTTTATGTGCGCGGGTTCGCGCTGCGCTAGGCTCAGAGCGAGTTCGCGCTGCGCTAGGCTCAGACGGCGAGTTCGCGCTGGCTAGCTAGGTAGGAGAGAGAGTTTGTTTGTGTTGCTAGGTAGGTAGGTAGAGGGTGAGCCGTCGCGATTTCTTGTTGGTTTTCAAAACTCTCTCTCTCTCAAGCTGAAGATGTTCACGGGCCCTCACACGAAGGTGGGGAGCCCCGGGTGGGTCTCTTTAGGTTTATTTAGCTGTACTCGAACTCCGTCTAGGCAGGGTTTGCTTGCTCGTTCGTCGTTGCTGGAAATTAAGACAACAACAAACGCTAACCTCTTTCTGGCCGCGTCGTCCCTCCCCTGGCCGATGTTCTGCATTCCTCTTTTACGTACATAAAAGTTCGACGGATCACAGGACACAGCTAGACCCCAGCTGGGTTCCACGAGGCCTGACAGCCGGCGAGAGCTTGCGCTGCCGGATAGTCGAAGAAGGCCGACAGCGCTTGCCTCTCCGGCTCCGCGCCCTGCCGCGGTGACGCTGCGGGCCGCGACGCCGCGGCTGCGCTTGCCTCTCCCGCTTCCTCTCTGGCCCTCTCGCCCTCCTCCCACAAACGCGCTACCGCTGCCGGGTCGTACCGCTCGTCTCTCCGTCCGCGCCTCTCTCGCTCTGCGGCCATCCACGGCTCATCTTGCGCGCGCGGGTGGAAGGGCCCCCAATAGTAGCCGCCACAGTCGTCCGTCATAATTGTTAGTCGGAGAATTTCGCGAATCCTCGGCACAGCCTCGAGCGCCTCGAGGCGGTCGTTGCTGCTGTCGAACCGGAGGCGGATGTAGCTCTTGGCCGAGCCTGCGCAACAACAGGAAAGGAGCGTCGGAAGGGGCGGGTCGCGTGTGCTGGCGCGCTGGTCGCATAGCGGAGTGCCGCGCACCGGGCTGGGAGAAGGGGTCGTAGTGGTCGGCGATGGACGTGCCGATTGAAGTGGTCGGCGACGTCCTGGGAGCAAAACGGCACAACTCCCAGGAAAGGTCGTAGCCTCGCAAGTCCAACGGCACGTCCACAAAGCCGCGCAGGGAGAGGTCGAAGTCGATGTCGCTCGCGGACGCGGAGCAGAGACTTGCAGTCCTCAGCTTCAGCGTCCACGAGGGCCACGGGAAGCAGTGAGACGAGTGGGATTCCGGCATGGAGAAGGTCCATCGAATCTCGTCCCGCTCAAAGGTCACGATCCCGGCGCCGAACTCCAACGTTCCGAGGGCAATCTCGCTGCAGTGCTTCCGGACCGGCCGGTCCCAAACGGTATCGGGCCCAAACCTCCAGCGGGGGAGCCCGGGCGGCGGCCCTGGCCGTGGGAGGAGCTGCAGCTTCTCGAGCTCGCTCGAGAGCGACTCAGAGCGCTGCCCCTCTGCGCGCAGCCGCTGCACCTCTGCGTGCAGCCGCTGCACCTCCTCGCGCAGCTGCTGCCCCTCATCGCGCAGCCCGGCCGGCTCGCCAGCCGCATCTCCAGCTCCAGCCGCAAGCGGGCCGCCGCCGCTCGCCTCGCCGCCGCTCGGCTCGCCAGCCGCATCTCCAGCTCCAGCGGCAGGCGGGCCGCCGCCGCTCGCCTCGCCGCCGCCGCTCGCCTCGACGCCGCTCGGCTCGCCAGCCGCGTCCCGAGAGGGCTGCGGCACTGCGAAGACGCGCTGCCGCTTAGCCGGGTCTGCCGCCCACTCTAGCTGCTCGTCCCAGAAGAGCACCGCCCCCTTCGTGACGCCGCAGTCGGCAGCCGCCTGCTCTGCGGAGCTCGCGTCGCCCGCTCGAAAGCGGACGGCGGCGGTGAGTGCGGGCTCGAAGCAGTCCAAGAACGGCCGCGAGCCGTTGACGTCGCCGCCGTTTCCGCGACGCCGAGGCAGCTTCGCCTCTACGAGAGCGCGGCGCGACTGCGTGACCAGCTCGGCGTACCGCTCTCGCAGCGCAGCCTGCTCCGCAGTCGGTCCGACGGGGCCAAAATGCAGCACGCCGCACTCAAGCAGCCTCCGCACCGCAGGCAGCCACTTTGTGACATGCCGCGTGTTTTTGTCAAGGGACCCGCGCCGACGGAGGATCGATCCGAGCGGCTCCTTAGTGCGCTCGTGCTCGAGCGCGGCATCGATACACTGTTGGGATGGGGAGCGGGCATGAGCAGTTTGATATGTGGCGGCGGGAGGTGTACGAGCGGGGCGGCAGTGCAGCAGCACACCGATGGCGTGTCCCTTCCAACCTTGACGGGGAGGCCGTCTGGAATCTCCCCCTCAGCGTCCAACTGCTGCAGCAAATTTGCAGCGTGCTGCTGAAGTAGGTCCGGAAGCGACTCGTCGGGAGATTCAGCGGCGGCGGGCGTCACGTCGAATCGGGCGGGCGCCGCAGTGGCGAGGGTGGCGCTGGCGTCCGACGGCTGCGGCGAGGATGTGGCGCCGAGCGCGCAGCTCTCCTCATCGTCGATCTGCATTCGGCTCTCCTCCTCGTGCTCGATCTGCATCCGCACCGCTCACGTCTTTGCTGTGCCGCTTGCTCGCTAGGTGTGCGGGTCTCGGAAAGAAAAAGCAACCAAACTAACGGGTCCCTAACAGCCGCTACGATCATCCGTAGAGGCACGAGTGTTCGAAGAGAGAGTGGACCTGAGCAACAACATGACCTGTAGGCAAATGATCGGAGTGGGAGTCAGAAATGTGGTCCTTGCGCGAGGGGAGCTCGATAGACTCGAGGGGCCAGGATACGCCGCGAGGAGGACGGAGTTGCGCCGACAGGCGAAAGAAGCCGCGAGAACAAGGGACCGGCAGGCGGCGGCGTCGCAGGACGGGGCAGAAGAGAACAACGCGACAGAGGAGGAAGTGACAAGGGAGAGAACGACGAGGGTGGGACGACCGCGTGGTGGCATGAAGGTTGCAGCGAGAATCAGCGAGAGACTGCGAAGAGAGATAGGAAGAGGCAGACTCCCTAGGGTGGGCGACGGATAGCGCACCACACACCTCTCCTTAAAATCCCTGTGTGGTGGCGGCGTGCCGTCCTCCCATCCCTCCCTTGGGTTGTCTGTTTTCTTTCTTTCTTTTAGCCGCTACGAGGCAGAAGAGAACGACGCGACAGAGGAGGAAATGACAAGGGAGAGAACGACGAGAGTGGGACGACCGCGAGGTGGCATGAAGGTTGCAGCGAGAAGCGGCGAGAGAAGACTGCGAAGAGAGATAGGAAGAGGCAGACTCCCTAGGGTGGGCGACGGCTAGCGCACCACACACCTCTCCTTAAAATCCCTGTGTGGTGGCGGCGTGCCGTCCTCCCATCCCTCCCTTGGGTTGTCTGTTTTCTTTCTTTCTTTTTAGCCGCTACGACAAACTCATCTTTTATTTTCTTTGATAGTTAGAGGCTCTCACTCACTCTCAAAGTCTCAAACACAAACTTGCGCCACAGCTATATGTGTCGCACACACGCGACACGGCGGCTCCGGCAGCGCGCAGCGGAGGCGCCGGCGGGGGGCGCACCGATCTTCCACGACTTGCTACGCACACCCACACGCACAGCCACACAGGGTCTCACATAATCACATATTCTCTCTACACGAGACACACCGCGGAAGGGGCGCTTGGGAGCGGGGGCGGGGGCGGGGGCGGCGGGCGGGGGCGCGCACCGCGCAGGCGCCCAGGCCGCAGGGCGCAGCGCCCTGTCTGTCGCCTGTGTGGCCTGTGCGCGTGCGGCGTGGCGCGCGCGAGCGTGCGACGGAGGGTAGGGGTGGGGACGCTGCCGTGCGCTGCGCGCGCGCGCACGCGCGCAGCACACACCCCACGGAGGGTAAGACGGCGAGGAGGGGGCGGCGGCGGCGGCGGCGGCAGCGCGCGCGCTGCGCGCGCGACAGAGGGGCGGAGCAGCGACCGCTGGCGCGGACGCTGCTCCGTCTGCCAGAGACGCGCGCTCTGGCGCAGAGCGCGTCAAGGCAAGGGCAAGCGTGGCGGCGCGGGGACGCGCGGCGGCGGCGGCGAGCAGCGAGCGCTCCGTGCGCGGTGAGGCGGCCGGGCGAGGGCGCGGCGGGTGACGGGGCAAGGGAGCAGCCCACACCCGGCCGTCGCTTTTGAGCGACGACTGTGGCACGCCTGCGCAGGGGCCGCAGGGCGGTCAGTGGTGGGACGAGGCGGTGCCGGCCGCGGGCCGGGTGCAAGGCGCCGGCCTCGGCGCCGCCTCGGGCGCGGCGGGAGGGAGGGGGGGGGGGGGGGGTGCCTGTGCCCCCACCCAAAGGCGGCAGCGGCTGGCGGCCGAGATCGGTTCGGCGCGAGCGGGCGGTCGGCGACGGAACTAGGTGGTGAAGCTCGAGCCAAGAGCTTTCGGCTGGAGACGTCGTCGCAGAGGAGATAGTGGGGGCCCCAGATTCGAGCGCTCCGCCGCGTTTGAAAGACCGACAGGATGTGTCGGCCGGGGAGCCTCCGGCGGGCCTGCGGCGCGGGGCGCTGCGCGCGGCAAGCTTGCCGGAGTGTGGCCGCAGCAGGAGCCTCCGGCGGACGCCTGGCGGCGTGGCGCTGCGCGCCGGCGCTCCCGCGCCCGCGAGAGCAGCCGGGGTGTGTCGGCCGGGGAGCCTCCGGCGGGCCTGCGGCGCGGGGCGCTGCGCGCGGCAAGCTTGCCGGGATGTGTCGGCCGGGGAGCCTCCGGCGGACGCCTGGCGGCGTGGCGCTGCGCGCCGGCGCTGCGCGCCATTCGAACGAGGCCTCCGTCCTTTTTGCATTTTTGCAGCCGACCCGTCCTTTTTACAGCCCCTATATCTCGCGGAGGAGCAAAGGACGCCCGATTAGCGCTGCGCGCGGCCGGGCAAAAAAGGAGGGAGAGGACGGCACGCCGCCACCACAGAGGGATTTCACTCGAAGGAATTCCTAGGAGCGCTCGCGCGTGATTTCTTGGAACTGCCGCAGGAAGTGCGACGACGAGGGGTCGAGAAGCATGCTGCCGCTACGAAGGGTCCTGCTGGCGCGTCGCCTGCCCCTGCCCTCGCAGTCGGCGGAGGCCTTGATGCTCGCGCGGCACCGCGGCGCCGCTGGGGGGTGGGCACGCACCTTGTGCGCCAAGGCCGAGGCCAAGCCGGAGGCCGCGGCCGAGCCCGCTGCGGATGCGGCAGAGGCGGAGGCTGCGCCGGGGACGTCGGAGGGCACCGACGGCGACGCCGCGCGGGTCGCGGAGCTCGAGGCGCAGCTGAGCGAGCTCGACGAGCAGCTCAAAGCGAAGCACGACCAGGTGCTGCGCGCGCTCGCTGAGGCGGATAATGCGCGGCGGCGAGCGGCGATCGACGTGGAGAACGCGAGCAAGTTCTCGGTGGGCGGCTTCGCCAAGGACCTTCTTGACGTGGCCGACAACCTCGGGCGCGCCGCCGATGCGGTGCCCGCCGAGCTGCGCGACTCGGAGGAGGCGCCCGTGCTGAAGAACCTGTACGAGGGAGTCGTCCTCGTCGACACGGTCCTGCACAAGGCGAGACACCGCACGCGTGCACCCACGCGCTCCCCGGCAGCCTGCCGCGACCCGCGGACGCCGCTCACGCCCTCGCCGCTCGCCCCGCACCCTCCCCTCCCCCCACCTCCTCCTCGTCCTCCTCCTCCCTGCCCGGCGAGCCGCCCGCCTCCTCCACCGCAGGTCTTCTCAAAGCACGGCCTCACCAAGATTGAGCCGCTCGGAGAGAAGTTCGACCCGAACTTCCACAACGCCATGTTCGAGGCGCCAGACCCGACCAAGGAGCCAGGCACCGTCATGCACGTCGCCTCGCCCGGCTACGTGATGCACGACCGCTGCCTGCGCGCCGCCGGAGTCGGCGTCGTGCAGAAGCCCGCCTGAGGGGCGCACCGCGGGCGGCGGCCACCCGCCAAGGGGCGCGCGGGGGTGGCCGAGAGGCAGGCTCTGCCGCGCGCGGGTGGCCGGCGGGCTCCTCGACGAGCTTGGGACGCGAGGCGGCAGGGCGGCACCTCCCAAGCGTGAGCCGAGGGGCAGGCCCCGGTGTCTTGCGGCGCAGCGCGTCTGCGCGTGCTTTCCGCGGCGTGCCGCCCATCCGGATCAGGTGCGATATGATTTAAACGAGATGAGGAACGGCCCAACGGCGAGGCGTGTTTGCCGTGATTGAAAAGAAAGATCGCAGGAAACCGAGATGTGCGAGGCTGAGGGAGGGGGGGGCGCAGTTAGAGCTGTCAAACGTTAAGAGCTGAACAGTGTTGCTAGTGTTAACAGTAACAACAGAACAACAGTGGGGCTCCCCAACAACAGTAGCTAACGTTAGGCCAGCTGAACAACAATAAGGAAGGCCTGGCAGTGACCCACGACGATCTCCAGCGTCCAGTGCGGGTATAATACCCGAAAATACCTGGAAAAACCCAGGTATTTTCGGGTTTTACCCGGGTTTTTTTGCATTTTCTGCTTGCTGACCACTGAACAACAGTAACAACAGTAACAACAGTAACAGCTTGGGCTGGCGTGGGGAGAACACTTGAACAACGTTGAGGATTTTCAGCCAACAATAGTGCAACTGTTAGGCCCAAAGTTAACGTTTGACAGCTCTAGGCGCAGTCCGCAGAGATATACGGCTTTACGGCTTTACGCGTGCATGCACATGCAAAATGGCAGAGACCCTCGCCCTCACGTCAGTTGCCAGGGCGTGATGGTGGCCACAACGTGACCACCATCAATGGGTGCGCGCACACGCGCGGCGGCGGGGAGAGGGGCGAGGAGCGCCTCGAGAGCTGACGGACAGCAGCCCCAGCCGCCACGGGCACGGCCCACGCGGGCACGCGCCACGGACAAGAGGAGGGCCGTCTTCCAGGCAACATGGCGGCAGTCCTCCGGCGATTTCTTTTCGAGCTAGCCTTCGATGTGTGTGTTGAAACAAACGCAAGGCGGACACACACATGACGCATCGCGCTCGGGCCCACAGACATCCCGCACACCCGAGAGAGAGAGGAACCGCGGCCGACTCTACCATCGCGGCCGCAGCCGTGTTGAGCTCTTCAGAAGACTGGTGCCTCATATGCTGCCTCCCTGCGGATGCTGCCGGCGAGCCTGGCGGTCCGCTGTACTACAAGGAAGTGCTGACTCGATTCTACCTCGAATTCTTCTACCCCCACGACTCGGAACGCGAATGTGACAGGACCCGCTTCAGCCACCAAAGTGAGATCACCCGAGAGCAGCTGAGCCTGCCTCTGGCCTCGCCTCCCTCTCCTCCAGGCATTCGTGGCATCCTATGGGTCGTCCAGAGTATCGACCTCTGGCGAGTCAGCCAGCCCCACTTTGAGGGCGCCATGAAGTACGCGATCGCCACCTCGCTGGCCTCTCCGCAGGCCCCCCCGACCGCGTCGAACTCATCGGCGCGGGCTCTCTCAGCTACGGGACCGGCCCCAGCTTCGGCTGAGGGCTGACAAGCTGCCGAGCCCAAATCACTGTGCGAGTGGTGATTTCTTGTTGGTTTTCTAAAATCTCTCTCACACCCGCCGGCGCCGCCCCCGCGCGCGCCCCATCCCGGGAAAAGTGTTGCAAGGGTGACGGTAGATGTGACGGATGCTCACGCACTGTGTGCTTTTCCGTGCGCCCCTCTCCCACCCCCACACAAAAGAAATGTTCCGATAAGTTTACGCGGCAATTTTGTAGAAACAAGAAATGAGCACAGCGTGACATATCATGCTGAAGCCGCAGCCCTCCTCCGTCAAACTCATCAGGGCCGACACCGAGTGCAAGTGCGTCCACTACGAGGCCAACAAGGACCCTACGCGGCGCTACGTTACCACGGTCTCCCGCGCTAACGTCAAGACTGTCATCGGCCGCTTTGAGTCGAAGGTGGAGGCAGCGTACTGCTACGCAACCTCGCCCGAGGGGCTGGAATATGCAAGCTCGCCAAGGCGGTGGCGCTGCGGGAGGAGCAGGACATGACGAGCGCCCAGGCCATAGCGACGGCCGCCGAGGAGAGGTTGGCTGCAGACGGGCGGCTCGGGCTTTGTGGGCGTCTTCCAAACGCCACAGGCCTGCAAGCTGCCTTTCATGGCACGGGTGTGGCGCGGCCGCAAGGACGTGAACCTCGGCTACTTCTGGTCGGCGGAGGCGGCCGCGCTCTGCTACGCCCGCTCGCCCGAGGGCCGGGCGGCGGCGGAGGCCAAGCGCGCCGAGGCGCAAGCGCTGCCGCCGATGACAGCTGCTGCTGCGCTGGAGGCGGCGGCGGAGGAGGGGCTGGAGCTGCTGATGTCCGACTCTGGCACGCGCTTCCTGGGCGTCTACCGCGCCTCTTGTTCGCGGCTGCCCTTCCGCGCCCGTCTGAGACGCGACGGACTCGAGATCCTCCTCGGCCGCTTCGCCACCGCAGAGGAGGCCGCCCTCTGCCGCGCGCGCGAGCTCGCGGCCCAGGCCGAGGACGCCTCCGCCGCCGCCGCGGACGAGCCAGTCGCGACCAGTGCACCGAAAGTAGACGGTGGGCGCGATGATCTCCTGTGGTGCGTGGTGTGCAGCACGATGTGACACAGCCGACGCGCTCGCAGAGAGTGGTCCTACAGTCCCCCCCACCGCAGTCATGCAAAATTCCAAAATTCCTCGCCACGTTTTCTCCGCCAACTAGGGCGCGCCGAGCCCGCTTACCGCCAAGCCGGCTCGCCTCCCCGCCCTGAGGCCGTCACCACACATCCACGCACATGCACACGCGCGTCCTCGTTCTTGCCGCGCTCGTCGCCACAACGACCGCAGCGCCGTCGGACACGTACACGGGAACAGTGGTCTCGTGCGATCGATGATCCCTCAACGCGCTCCCGAAGGTGAAGAGATTCGTCTGTATGTTTCTTCCCCGCCCTTGCGCCAAGAACTTCAAAGGGCGAAGGCCGGGCGCGGAGATGTTCAGCGGAGTCGAGTACAAGTGGATTTTTCACCACCAGCCCGAGCTCCAGATCTTTAAGAACGGTGGCAGCGCCCCGTTCAAGGTCGTGAAGCTGGCGCCGATGGACGAGGCGCAGCTGAACGAGCTCTGGTCTACTTATTTCCCGAAGGCGGCGCAGCGCCGACTCTCGGACGCGGACGCTCCTGTCCCGCTGCCAGATCGACAGGCTGGCGCATAGAGGCTGGCGGGACGGAGCAGGGAGATGGAGCCACATGGTGGACCCGACGCTGCGCCTGTGCGTATGATGCGGGCGTCCGCGAATCGTGCTAGCGATTGGACGTGTCGCGGAAGTTGCACAGGCGTGAGAGGTGCGGACGCGATGGATCACCGGGGTGGGATAGACGATATGTACTGTGGCGAGTGACATTGATGTCAGGCGCCGGCGGCTGTGATTGCGATTCATGCATCATGCTTCATGGGAGAGATTTTTGTTATTACCAACAAGAAATCACGACTATCACAGTGATTTGGGCTCGGCAGCTTGTCACTTGTCAGCCCTCAGCCGAGAGAGATGGGCTCTGGTAGGAGGCTCCACGCCACCTGACTCGCGTCGTGCCACCTGACTCTCGCCTGGAGAGGCCTCTTAGCCGAGGCACACGTGGCGATCGCCACGTGCGCCACCAGGGATTTCGGCCATTTTAGAGCCTTTTGCACAAAATGCAGGTGGCTTTAGCCACTTGCTCCATGAGCAAAACAGTGCAAAAAGCACCTGGAGCAGATGGCTTACGCCGCCTGTGGACATGGGCAAAATAGTGCAAAAAGCACCTGGAGCAGATGGCTTACGCCGCCTGTGGACATGGGCAAAACAGTGCAAAAAGCACCTGGAGCAGATGGCTTACGCCGCCTGTGGCCATGGGCAAAACAGTGCAAACAGCATCTGGAGTAGATTCCAAACGCCGCCTGTGACCATGTGAACGCTCGGGTGGCGCCAGGTGGCTTCGGCCCCCTCCAAGCCACCTGCCCCGCCCCCCTCGCCACACCTGGAGGGCTGGAGCACGTGCGCCACCTGGGCCTGGGCAGGTGGCAACAGGTGGCTTCGGCCCCTCCAAGCCACCTGCATGCCCCCCCTCGCCACACGAGGAGGGCTGGAGCACGTGCGCCACCTGGGCCTGGGCAGGTGGCTCCAGGTGGCTTCGGCCCCTCCAAGCCACCTGCCCCGCCCCCCTCGCCACACTTGTAGGGCTGGAGCACGTGCGCCACCTGGGCCCGATGGGTGGGCAGGTGGCGCCAGGTGGCTTCGGCCCCTCCAAGCCACCTGCATGCCCCCCCTCGCCACACCTGGAGGGCCGGAGCACGTGCGCCACCTGACGCAAGTTTGAATTCGGAAACGGAAAATCCGAGCCACGGAAGGGCTGGCCTGCCAAACGCGAGCCTTCCCGCTCCTCCCCGCGCTGCAAACTGGGACTGTGGGGTGTGTGAATGAGGGCCTGCGGCGGTCGTCGGCGGCTACAATCAATGTCCGGCGTCGACATAAGCCTGGGGCTTCAACCCGGCCCGCGCGGGCGTTTGGTGTGGCTGCAAATACCGCAGGAGCCGGTGGCTGCGCTGCTCACGCGCCGTTGCTGCCGACGCTGAGCAGTCTGACTCGCCAATGAGAAGACTGCCCAATAATACGCCATCTCTCGATCCCCGATAAACCAGGCCATGCAGAGCTTTGTTTGTCGGCCTCGTCGACGTCGTGTGCCGGCTGCGCGGTAGAGTTGCGAGAGTGGATTGTGGAGGCGCGGCGGGGGCGGCTCGTGGTGCTGAGGCGGTGTATAGTACATTCCTATTCAAAAGAACACGCACGATGAAATTCCCGAAGTGACGCCCAGGTGGCGCACGTGCTCCAGCCCTCCAGGTGTGGCGAGGGGGGGCATGCAGGTGGCTTGGAGGGGCCGAAGCCACCTGGAGCCACCTGCCCGGGCCCAGGTGGCGCACGTGCTCCAGCCCTCCAGGCAGGTGTGGCGAGGGGGGGCAGGTGGCTTGGAGGGGGGCGAAGCCACCTGGCGCCACCCGAGCGCTCACATGGCCACAGGCGGCGTTTGGAATCTACTCCAGGTGCTTTTTGCACTGTTTGCCCATGGCTACAGGCGGCGTAAGCCATCTGCTCCAGGTGCTTTTTGCACTGTTTTGCCCATGTCCACAGGCGGCGTAAGCCATCTGCTCCAGGTGCTTTTTGCACTGTTTTGTCCATGTCCACAGGCGGCGTAAGCCATCTGCTCCAGGTGTTTTTTGGACTGTTTTGCTCATGGAGCAAGTGGCTAAAGCCACCTGCATTTTGTGCAAAAAGCTGCAAAAAGGACTCGTGGAGGCACGTGGCGCTTTCCGCGTGTGTCTCGTGCAAAATCCGGCATTTTGTGGCTTTCAGGTGGCACGACGCGAGTCAGGTGGTGTGGAGCCTCCTACCAGAGCCCATCTATGTCAGCCGAAGTGCGAGAAGAGCTGGCTTCTTGTGATTTGTCCTTCCCATCACCTTTGTGGTCAATTTGTGCCCGGCGGCCCTCGCGTAGGTACGAGGTACGACTCGTACGTGGTACGAGTGTCCTCGAGACCGGTCGACGCGCTCGAGCGCGCGGGCGCCCCTCGTGCCTCGAGGCGGGCGCGCGGGGGGAGGGGCGGCGCCCGGCGGGGCGCGCGCGCGGCCCCGCCCGCTGTGGCCACTGTGCACTGACGCCCACTGTGGTCAGACTGTGCGCCTGTTACCCGCTTGCGCTTTGTAGTTTGTACCCCTCCGCACGGCTCGCACACGTCGTGATGCGTTGTGACTTGAGATATGTCACGCTGCGCGTCTCCTCGTTTTCTTTGAGTCACATACCGCTTTACGGTATTTCATCACACTAATTTGGTACGCGTACATTGCTCGGACACCGCGCACGCGGCGCACATGCCACGACGTGCGAGCCTGGCCGGTGACGTATCGCTGTGATTTCCGCGCCCCAGCGGGCCCGATACCGCACACCTGGGGTGCTCCCGCTACACCCCACTCATGGCAGAGGGCTGGACACTCTCATCCGCCTCGAGCCGCAGAGTGCCCGCCGCCTCGTCCTTCCAGCAGAGGGTGCACGCACGGAGCTCCGCGTTGCCAAAGCGCGCCGCGGTCGGCGCGTCGGCCGAGACTTTCGAGTGCTGGCTCAGCAGGTAGTGGAAGATACCGCCGTGGGCGACGACGGCAATCGTCGATTCCGGCCGCCGCGCGACCCACAGCAGAGCCTCGTAGCCCCTCTGCGCGCACGCGGCCTCCTCCTCGAGCTCCTCGGTCCAGCACTCGTCAGTCTCCGTCAAGAGATCAAAGCCAACGGCTGGAAAGCGACTGACTAGCTCATCCCGTGGCCGGCGTTTCGCGTTGAGCAGCCAGCCAGAGCGCTCGCAAAGGCAGTCGAGGCTGATAAAGCGGTCGCGCCCGGCCGCCGCTGCCTCGGGGAAGGCGAGGGCAGCCGTCTCGATGGCGCGAGAGAGACTCGACGCGACAATTAGCTCAATACCTAGCGATGCCGCGCCGCCGTCCACGCTATTGCAGGCAGCGGCTGCCTGTTGGCGGCCGAGAGGAGTCAGATCGGCGTCCAGGGCGTCGTCCTCCTTCATCGTGTGGAGGAACTCGTCAAAGGAGCAACCCGCGGCGCGGCGAGCCTCGGCACGCGGGTTGTGCAGCGCTTGTCCGTGGCGGAGAAGGAGCAGCCTCTTGCGCATCTCTCGGAGGAGCCGGAGCCAATGGCAGTTCACTGGAGCACTGGAGCACTGGATACCAGAGCTTGGCAACCTAAGGCCACACCGTTAGGGCGTGAATTAGTCGCGTAAGCCGGCTGGCGTCGGGGGGGCCTGAACAGGGGAGCTCCCTCTCTCCCCACCCCGAGGACCTCTGCCCAAGCTGAGGTGCCCAGCCCAGACTCAGGGACTGTAGAGTCACACCTAGCGAGGTGTGTATTCTTTTTGCTTGGGGCGGCCCTCATGACGCGGGGTAGGTAGGGTAGGTCTGGGCCCTCCCGTCGGGGTTTTCCCTCTCTTCACGCTGGAATTTTCACAGCAGAAAAAGAAATTTTCCGCGGAGATCCCAAGTGGACAAGTGAGGTGATCTGGTGCTTGTAGGGCTTGAGAGTGGCCTGCCATGTCACAGGAAGGACTATGGAGTTGCAGAAGAGTATCACCAGCCATCACTTTAGAGTTTAGTTGGTATAGTACCCCACCTTCACCGATCCGGTGATTTCTTTAGTTTCGTATAAGGTAGAGGTAGGTAGGTAGCTAGGTAGGGGCAGGGCAGGCCGGGCCGGCCAGGTTTTTGCAGAGACTTCATCATGAGGGCCGCCCCAACCCCCAAGCAAAAAGCAATACACACCTGATCTGGCGCCAGTTTCTGTGTGAACCCTCTTGTTTGTTATCAACACCTTATATCTGTGGAAAATCTTATGGCGTCCACGTGTGCAACATCTGCACGGCCGCCTCGCTCAGCCCGGCGCTCCCCACCGCCGCCTCCCACGCTTCGTCCTCGCAGCAGAACCAGCCGTTGATGGCGAGGCGTCGGTGCGCGCGCGGGGTGCCCGCCGCGACGGGCTGCACAAAGTGGTGGCTCGCGCCGTGGACCGGGAAGAGGAAGAGCGTGTTGAAGCTGGGTGCAAAGCGGCGGTGGGGGGAGCACCACACGAGGTCGCCTCCGCTCCGCTCGTCCCACTCGCCCGTCAGGTGCCACACAAAAGCGACCCGCCGCAGGTCGCCGAGGTCGCAGTGCGGCGTGGAGTAGTCGCCCTCGCGGTACCAAGATGCGCTCACCACCACTCGGCCTCGGCAGCCGAAGGCCGCCTCGAACCAGGTGAGGCCCTCCCTCTCGAACCAGCGGCACGCCGTGGCGTAGGCGGGGCACGCGGAGGCCAAGCGGGACGCATCCGAGCAGTAGATGTTGGAGTGCGCGTACTGGAAGCCCGGCTGCCTGCTCGCGTGGTGCGACCACGCCTCTTCCGGCAGCCCGCCGAGCGCCGTGTGCACGGAGCGCGCGCACGCATCGTCGAAAGCCTGCTCGAGGCGCAAGAGCTGCCCTGCCCTCAGCGCCTGCACAGTGGACGAGTTCGACAGCCACCCTGACGGGGTCAGCGCGGGGAGCGGCGCGCCGACCATCTCCGGCTTTGACTCCAGCCAAGTCGAGACCGCAGCGTCGTTGACAACGCGTCGCGCAAGCGTCTCCTCAACCGCTGCCGGATCGGAGCTCGCCCCTAGCACACTAACCACAACTGCATCGGGATTCGCAGCGACCAGCCGCTGGAAGGCTAGCTCGGCGGCATCAGCGTCTTGCTGCTCACTCGACCCGTGCTCACTCGTTCCATTGCCGACCACGACTGCCTGCGGGTTGGCAGCGACCAGGCGCTGGAAGGCTAGCTCGGCGGCATCAGCGTCTTGCTGCTCACTCGACCCGTGCTCACTCGTTCCATTGCCGACCACGACTGCCTGCGGGTTGGCAGCGACCAGGCGCTGGAAGGCTAGCTCGGCGGCGTCAGCCATGGCCGCGGCTCAACCTATTAAAGGTGAGGTGGCGGCGGGCGGTGCGCGAGACAGGCGCGCGACGACGAGTCTCGAGGTTTTGGAGCACAGGTACGGGCGAGAGCCCCGGAAAGAGCTACCTGTACCTGTAACACTACCCAACCAACGGGTCCCTCGAGAGGGGTAGCCCGCGCCCAAGCAAAAGATTTTACAACAAAAGAATTCCATGGATGGAGGTACAGCAAGGGAGGGAGGAAGAGATCAATCTATCTAACCATTTATTGTCAAGGGGTCTGAGGAAGGGTGTAGATTGGCCGCTTGTGTATATCTCGAGACCTCGCTCGATCGAGAGAAAGAAGGAAGGAAGGCCGCCCGCAGGGCCCAAGTCCGGAATTGGCTTTCTTTGGCGGGCAAGGGTATAGGAAGGGTATAGAAGATGTAGTCATGTAGATAGAGTGTAGAGCGCTGTGGAGTGTAGAGATGTGGATACATGTAGAGCGCTCTGGAGCGCTGGCTGGTGCGGAGCTCTGCTCTATCTATCTATCTACCAGCGAGCGGTCAGTTACGCTGTCGCCTGATGTAGAGCTGTGAAAGGAGAGACACCACGAGTGGGATAGAGCCACGAAGGTTGTCGAAAGCAACGACAATGAGGAGAATTCGCCGCGCATGACATCCGACCGGCGGGCGTCCCACGTCAAAGTACGTCAAAGCCGGAAGTTCTCTGTTCCGCAAACGCTTCGAACACCTCGGTCGTCCAGACTTCGGCTTGCGTGCTCTGACCAACGCGCGAACAGTCGCTTGCCCCATCGGCGTGTCGGAACAAGCGCTGGGTGCGCAATGCAGCAGGCAACCACGTCAGGACAGGATGATCCAGACTTGCAAAGGGCAGGCAACAGCGCATGTGCTCGGTGTATGGACGAGCCGAGATGGGCTCGCGGCAGCAGCAGTGGCAGCAGTAGCAGCAGCAGCAGCAGTGCCATCACCAGCGCTACCAGCGACGGCGGCGACGGCGGCGATCGCAACTCCGGAGCAAAGCCCGCCAATATGGGCACCGGTGCGCATCGATCTCACCTTTTGGCAATGGCGAGACACCCCGTCATCAACCAGGCGCTGAAGAAGCCAACTCCCAATCATGGCACGCAACAGGCTCAGGTCGCGGTGTCGCCGCCTTTGTGTTTGCCCATCCCTCACGCTGCACGAGTGGCCGCCGGCGGTGCAGGTTTGGACGGGGCGGTGCCCTCCACCACGTCGTCCTCCCGCAGAGCAGCTCACGACAACCCGCCCGCGGCAGCCTGGTCAGAACCGCCAAGGCTGGCTCTATTGCAGGCGGCGCCACTGGTACACAATGGGAGGCCAGTGGAGCAGTTGGATATGAAGGCAGAGCGCGACGCCGTCTTCTCAGCGCTGAAGAGCTCTGGGAAGCAGGCCCACGCGACGAGTGACTTCTGCACCACGAGGCGACTGCGCGACGTGCTCACGGCCGGCTGCCGTATACTTCATTGCTCTGGGCACGGCTTCTCGTACCTGGATCAGTCGGGCAGGCAGCAGTCTCGTCTTGCCTTCGAGGATGGCGAGGGCGGCACGCACGCCCTCGAGGTGAGCAACCTGCTCGCGCTCATCTGGGCGGGCGCCGAGGGGGACGAGCGGCCGCCGCTCGACCTCGCCTTCGTCTCCGCCTGCCATGGTGGCCCGTACGGGGAGGCGTTCGCGGCCGCCGGAGTGCCACACGTCGTGGCGGTGAGAAGACAGGAGCAGCTGCAGGACAAGGCGGCCTGCCTCTTCGCTGAGCAGTTCTACCACGCGCTCTTCATGGGGAGGAGCGTGAAGCAGGCCTTCACCATCGGCAAGCAGGCCGTCGCCAACCAGCCTCACATCGTGCGGCCGGGTGAGGAGGCGCACAAGTTCATGCTGCTGCCTGTCGATGGGGACCACTCCGAGGTGCTACTCCGCAACTTGCCACCGGGGCAGCTCAAGTGGGTGTCGCCGCCGCGCTGCGCTCACAACCTTCCCGCCTTTCGGCCGCTCCAATTCATCGGCCGGCAGGTCGAGTGGCAGCGCCTTGTCGCCGCCGCGTGCGGCAGCCAGAAGCGGCTACTCCACCTGATTGGCGAGGCTGGCACGGGGAAGACCTCCCTTACCCTCGCCGCGGCGCACTACGTGCTCGAGCGTGGCACCTTCGCCGGCGGCATCCTCTACGTTTCTGCCGCCGGTGCCACCTCTATCGCAGCGCTGAGCCGCCTCATCGTGGCGGCTGTGGCCGAGGCTAATCGCGGCAGTGGGCGAGCGGGCGAGGAGGACGAGCCGACTGGATCGAGCAATGACGAGCTGCCCTTTGCGCTGCTGCGGCACCGTGGGGCGTGTCTGCTGATCATTGACGAGTGGACGATGCCTTGCGACAGCACGGTGCTGTCGAGCGCGCTGTGGGTGCGCGCCCTCGGAAGCCTGCTAGAGCGCGCGCCCGACCTGCGGGTGCTGCTCTCGGGCACCCACTCCCTCGCTCTCCCCGGTGTCGCGCGGCTCGAGCTCGGGCTGATGGCAATGCCCGACGGGGACGTGGCGCGGCTCTTCAAGGTGCGGCCCGACGCAGTCGCACACGTCCACGCGCCTCTCTGCTAGCGGACCAGCCCATCCCCCTACGCCTGCACTCCACGCCGCCCGCCCGCCTGCCCGCATTGCAGGAGCTATCTCCGCGCGCGATCACACGATCTGAGCTCGGGTGCGACGAGCCCGCGGCGCTCAAGGCGGAGATCGTCTCCTTGCTGCGGCGTCTCGGCCGGACCGGCTCACCGCTGGAGCGCTTTACGGTGCTCCATGACGCGGGTGCCACAGATGGCTCCCTGCCGCTCCGTGTGCAGTGGGCGGTACAAGATGCTGAAGCTGCGGCGGCTCTCCGCTCCGAGCTCTCCTCGGAAAAGTCGCTCCTTCACTTCGAGCAGCCGCCGCCAGAGACCTCCGACCGGCACCTCGTGTGGGGCTACCTCTCCCTCACGAAGGTGCTCGCGAAGCACCCCGTCATCGCCGCATTGCGTGGAAGCCCCAAGGCCACCGCGCTTGCTGTCGGCTTGCTAGCGCCGTCCTTGGGCAGTGGCCGCTCTCTTGCAGATCTGGCGGGTCTGCTCTCCGCCCTGGTGATCGACGACCCCGCGGGCCTTATCGACGAGTTGGGGCGGGTATCGTCCCGCGAGCAGTTTGACCGGCCACGTACGCCGGCTGAGGCAGAACGTAGGGATGGGCGTATCTCCCTCGGACCCATCGTACGTAGTACTGGTTGTACGTGAGTATCGTCTGGGGGCTAGTACCTCTCGCCCTCTTTGTTGTACATGTATGTTGACTAGGTGTGCACGCACGAGAGTGGCTGTGCGTGTGAGTGGAGTGCGGCGGTGTGGTGGCGTGTGTGGTGCGATGTGCAGTAGCTTCGGTGTGGTGCCAGTGTATGGCTCCTGCCGGAGGGAGCGATTGAGCTGAGCGACGCTGTCTGTGATTGTGGGCGTGGTGAGGGCGGCGGCGCGCGTGCTCCTGTCAACTTGTCGCGTGTGCTTCTCGGGGCGCGTGAGTTGTGTGGCGTGAGAGTGTCGGCGGCGGAACTGTGTGTGCGCGGGGGGGCATGGTATGCCATATATCGCGAAATTTATTTTAGCGCGTCTCGTTTGGCTCTCGGACCTTCGGCGCGGCGGCTCTCTCTCAGAAGCAGCCGACGAAGAGCTTCGAACACATGTCGTTGTCGGTGGCCTCCATCTCTCTCGCGCCGCGGAACTACGCCCAAGAGGAGCGGCAGCGAAAAAAGCGGCTCTTCATACGCGTGCCTGATCCCGACGAGTCAGCGCCGGCGCCGCCGCCGTGCCACATCCAGCTGCTGCTCGACTCGCGCGCAGCGACGCCGCAGTCAGCATCGTCACCGCTGGATGGCCTGAGGGCTCCGGGAGCTGGCCGCGGACTGGAGGGGCGCCTCCGCGATACCATTCGACCCCAGCTGGCGGCAGTCGCGCGCGCAGGCCCCGACGTCGACACGGCAGAGGACCGGACAGAGGACGAGATCTTCACGGTGCTTCTCGCCCGCGACCAGGAGGAGGCCTTCGGTCCGCGGCCGTCAACGATTACGGTCCCGCTGCTGCCACCGAGAAGATGTGGGCTGGGCAACTGGGACGAAGACAGCCTGGCGGCCCTGCTTGCCGGCTGCCACTCTGCGCCGGCCCGAGACGAGCAGCAAGTGCGGCTCGTCGAAGCGACGCGCGCTCGTCTCTTTCGGCCGAGCTGGCACCTGCGCGCGCCGGCACAGCCGGCCGAGAGAGCCTCGTGCCTCGGCGTGCGTCTCTCGGCTGAAGCCTCGGCTCACGCGTTCACCGCCCGCGAGGCCGCGGCGGCCTTCAAGCGGCTGTGCACGCCACTCGCCGAGTGGCTGCCGCCGCCAAAAAAAGGGCACGCCACCGAGCCTGGGCTTGTCTCGCTCGACTCCCTGCTCGGCGGCTTGCGAGAGCACGAGCCCGCCTGCAGCCCCATGGCCACACCGGAGCAGCGCCGTGCACCACTCGCGTCGCTGGCATCGGCACGCCAGCGGTCAGATCGACTTCGAAAGCTCACGGCGATGGACCCCTTGGCCCTTGGCGTCGACCAGCCAGCAGCACGCCGCCTCTGGCTTGGCGACACAATGCGCGATGATCTCACGCCAGCGCCCAGCGGCATCCCCACTCTTGAAGAGCCGCTCCTGCCGTACCACCTTGAGGCCCGGCCGCGGCCGGAGCATTTGGTTTCCCTCGAATCGCTGCTCGCCGGCCAGCCGCCACAGCTGCTCCTGACGGCGCAGGGCGAGACTGCGACTGGTATTGCGCGCGAGCAGCTCTCCGCCCAGATGGCCCGGCTGATTGCTTCTGTCATGCGCGGTATGGGCCCGCGCTTGGGCTTGTTTATAGCCCCGAGCGAGGAAGCCCTGGCTACGAGTGAGGGCCGAGGCTTGCCGCCGTCGGTCCAAGCGGCGGTGGCTGGGCGAGACAGAGACTCGGACAGCCTCGCCACGCTGCTACTCCCGACCCGTCCTACGACCCCTCACGCGCAGCTGGGCCGACAGGGACGAAGTGCGCCGTCCGTCTCTGCGATGCTCGGCGCTCGCACCGAGGAGGTCAACTCCATCCGTCAGCAGCTGCTGCGACCGACGCTGCCGCACGGCACGCCGCGGCGCCGCCGCGTGCACAGCAAGGCAGCCGTTTGGCAGGCCGGCGCTGCAGCGAGCGGCCGACTGCCTCCGGTCCCGTCCGAGGCGAGGATCCTGCGGCAGAGCCGCGATGCCGCACAGTCGCTCAGCCGCAAGCGAAGCGCCCCCGACCCCAGCCCTCTGTGGCGCTCACCTGCTCGGCCGCGCTTGCTCGATGTCGGCGAAGAAGAGCAGATGGGCGACACGGCTGAGGGCTTGCACCGCGAGCCGGCCGGCACTGTCGCGCAGGAGACACCGTCCTCGCCTTGGCCTCGCCGCCGCCAGCACCCGCCATCTCCGCGTACAACGCATTGCCCCACGCGCGCCGAGGTTCGCCCTCCTGCTGAGGTTCGACGCCTCGGCCTCGTCGCGGCCAACCCCACGCCCACAGTGCTCGCGCCCGCGCTCGACCGGGAGTGGCAGGCTCTTGAGCTGGACGAGTCGCTGGCTGACAGCGTGAGTGCCTACTTCGCCGCCAAGCGCGGTGGGCCCGCGGCAGGGCGGACCGAGGCGGCGTCCGCGCGGCCAGGCTCGGCCGCGATGGCGCGAGCTGGGGAAGAGGCTCTGGTCGTCAAGCTCGAGAAGGCGGCGAAGCGAGGCGGGGTGCTCGCGGTGCTCCCCGAGAGCGTGTCGCATGCGCTGCCCATGCTCGCTGCGGCGCTGCTGCACGCGCTCGTGCCGCACGAGCACGCGTCGGCGCTCTGGCTCCTCCCGTACGGCAACGTCGCAGAGGCGCGCCAATTCTGGCTGCATCTCGGGAGCTCGATCGAGGTGCGCGAGCTCTCGGAGCCGCCGGGCACGGGCAGGGAGCCGCCGCTCGAGCGCGGCGAGGTTGGCCTTCTCGCGCTCGAGTCGATCGCTGCTGTGCCCGCCAGCGGTGCGCCGGCGCCTTGCGCGGCACCCCTCGTGGTGGCCACGCTCTCCCCGCCCGACCTGCCGACCTGCGGCGCCATCGGCCGCTTTCTCAGCGCGGCGTCGGGCCCGCAGCTTGTGGCGTTGGTGTGCGGTCTGCCCGATGACGACGCGCAATCGCTCCTGCCCATGTGCAAGGCGCTGGGCGCGACTCACCTGCACCTTCGCTCGGGCGAGGACGCCGACGTCATCGAGCTCGCGAGGCAGCGCCGCGTCCACTCGTTTGGCGTGCCAAGGGCGCTCGCGCTCGTCGGCGAGGAGCTGTGCGAGCTGGCCGAGAACCTCCTGCACCAGGCACAGCGGCGGATGGAGGGCCTCGCAGGCGTGGCGCTCTGCGCCTCAGCTCTGCGTCAGGCGATCGACCGATTCCCACGCGGCGGAGACTCCAAGGCCTTCAAGAGTCTGCTGGCGTGCCTCTGCGCGCGGCAGGCGTCGGAATCCATCGGACACGCCGACGCGGCCGGCTTCCGATCGCTCCTCGACGGCTGGGCAAAGTCGCTCAAGCACCAGTCTGCATGCCGGCCGCACCCCGCCCTTGCGAGCCTGGTCGAGGGCAAGGAGGCCGTCGCCTCGGCGATCGCCCGCGTGGACGAGTCGATGCGCCGGGCGGTGCGCGCAGCGCTCGGATCGGCCATCGACGAGGGCTTTGGCTCAGCACGCAGCGGCGGTGTGGCGGGCGAGCCCCTGCTCCGTCAGGCGGACGGGCAGCACCACGGTGCGGCTGCGAGGCACGGCGTCATCGGCTTTGCAAGCCAGCGGCTGCTGCCGGCCGTGCGGTCCGAGTGCGAGCAGGCGCTGCGTCGCGGCAGTGACGCCGAGGCGGGACTGAGCGTGCAGGTGGTGGCGGTGGACGAGGGGATGGAGCCACAGCACGTGCTCAACTTGATCCAGAGGTCGCGCCAGATGGCCGGCGGCGGGGGCACCGGCGCTGCGCTGCTGCTGCTGCTGCCTCACGACAAGCTGCTGCAATTCGATGTCTTTCCGTGGGCCGAGTTTCGACTCTACATCGAGGCGAACGAGGAGAACGTGCCGCCGCTCCACCTGCGAGCTCAGCTGCTGCAGCCGCTGCTCTCGGTGCACGTCTTGCGGCCATACGAAGCCCCCGACGCCCCGGGCGACGAGGGGGCTGTGGGCGGCGAGCCGTCAGACGGCGTTGCTCCACCAGAGACGGAGCTACCCGGCGGCAAGGACGGGCCCGCGGCGAGCGAGGCGCTGCGAGAGGCGGCTCGCCTGCTCCGTCGCTCGCACGGTGGGAGGTACGACGACAGCATCAACTTGGAGGCGGTGCACGCTCGCAAGCAAGGGTCCGCCGCGCGCAGTGATGGCAGCGGCAGTCGGCGCAGCGACACGCACCCGTCTGGCGCGGGCGCAATCCCGTGGCCTGTGATGATCGGCGAGGCGCTTCTCGAGGCGCCGCGGCTGCACCGGCTGCTGCGGCGCAAGGGCCTGCAGCTCATCGAGACCTCCTCTCCCCTCCCGCACCTCTTCCTCGACCCATCCTCCGGCCTGCTGGCCTGCGACGCGCCCGCCCTGCTCCGGCCGGAGGAGCTGGCGAAGGCGGTCTCGCTCTGCGAATCCCGCGGCGCGCGCACCTGCCATGGGATCTCAGCGGTCGCCGCACGCCCCTTGACCCCGCACGTCTCATTCGGCGATCATAGGTCTGAGCAACTTGTGGGTCCTCGTCTTGGTTGCCGACGACCCGGCCTCTGCCAACGAGGCGCACGTCTGGCCACAGCTCGGGCGGCTGCTCGCAGAGACCAGCGCGTGCTCGCTCAAGCTGAGCGTTCGCGTCACTCCCTGGGCCCAAGCGTGGCGCGCCCTCCAGCGCATCCTGCTCGCGCACCGCCCCGCCGCCTCCGAGTGGCCTTGGGGCGATGACGCCGCCGCCGAAGAGACGGAGCACGAGCGGCTGCTGCAGAGCTGCGGCCTGTCGGCGTGGGCGGCGCGCAAGGTGGTGCGGCAGCACACGCTCCGATCCTTCCTCGCGCTCTCGCCGCAGACGCGCGCCGACTACTTCAAGTGGCTGCCAGAGGCGCAGCGGCAGCAGCTGGCCGCCTTCGAGGACGGGGGCGGCCGCCGTCACGGGCCCGGGGTCGGCGCCCCGGCTCCGTGGCCGTCCTCTGCGCCGCCTCCGTCAGCTCGTGGCCCTCACCCGGTCCACGCGCACGTGCCGCGCGCGGAGCCTCCCCACCCTCCCTCGTGCGACACGCTCCACCCCCCACTCGCCAGCGGAGTGGTGCACGCGCACGCGCCGCCGCACGGGCGCGGGGATGCTCAAGACGAGTCGCAAGCGCTGCGCCGCCGGCGCCTCGGCTTCACGGGCCAAGCAGACTCAAGCGGGCAGACGCACCTTTGCTGGAATGCCGCCGCGGACAGCAGTGCCCCCGTGCAGCAGGCTCGGCCAGCGGCAGCGCGAGGCCACCGCGCCTCTCGGCCGCCACAAGCGGGTGGTGCCCACAAGAAGCGCCGGTGGGGCGACCGCTGAGAGGCTCCGCAGCGCTGCTGCCCGACGTGAGGTGTGAGCGCTTTGCCACTGGGCAAAGACGTTGTGCCACACATGCATGAAGTTGAGAGAATCCGAGACGCGTGAGACAGCTGCGAGGGGACGCGCGCGCATGTTCCGCCTGTGCTGTTGTGCTGTGTCGCGGGTTGCTCGCGGCACGCCAGGGGCGGCGGCGGCGGGAGGGGGAGGGGGGCAAGCGGTATGCCAGCTAGCACGGCCGTGTCAGAGGCCACAGAGCGCAGTGCGCAGCTCTGTTCGTGGTCGATTCGCGAGTGCCGACTGCTCTGGGTCCGAGAGAGAGAGACGAGAGCCGAAGAGAGGAGAGAGAGTGGCGGTATGTCTCCGGTGTGTCGCGGTCAAACAGCGCCGACCGTCGTCGGGGAGAGTTGAGCGCGACGGAAGCGGCTCAAGAGTGGAAAAGGGGAAGCGTGGAAGAGGGGAAAGCGAGAGCGAGTGCCTTCTCGATAATACGCGTGTGCATAATCCATAAAAGAGTCGACCTCACACACTCACACAAAAACACCGCACCTTAGCGCGACTCGCGCCCGAAGGGCACTCATCTCCGGAAGAGGTCGAAGACGTTCTTTGTCCATTCGCCCGCCCGCGGCGCCGCCTCGCGGAGCGCCTCGGACGGCTCGCGCGCCGAGAAGAGCTGACGCAGCTCGGACCAGTCGCGCAGCGCGCTGAAGAGCTCCTTGTGGCGGATGCCTCGCGGCTCGTGCGGCACCACATCGAGGACGTACGCCGCCCACCCCTGCGGCAGAGGGGCGACGCGTGCGTGGGGCCTGCGCCGCCACGAGCAGCCCCGCCCCACCCCTCGTTCCGGCGCGCGCCTGCGTGTACGCGTCGTCCCAGCCGAGCCGCGCGCGCTGCAGCTGCAGGGCGGCGCGCAGCTCGTCGTGCGACAGGAAGCCGTCGCCTGGGCCACGGCAGAGCGCGGGCGGGGTGCGGGAGGGGCTGGGCGAGGCCGTGCGGGGCGAGTGCGTGGCGCCGTCGCGGTCGTACAGCGCCCACAGGAAGCGAAACTGCTCCTCGAGCGTCTCGGCGTCCTACGGAGGGACACCAGCTGCCTGCTACACCAGCTGCCTGCTGGGGACCAGGGCCGGGGAGGTGGCCAAGGGCGGGCGAGGCGAGGCGGCCTCGAAGTTGCGGAAGACGAGCCACTCCTGCGGAGGCGGAGGCGGAGGCGGGTGGAGGTGGCCGTACGGTGGCGGCGGCGCGGAAGGCGTGGCGGAGCGCAGAGGCAGAGGGGCGTGGTGCGGGGCGGCGGCCGGCGGCCGGCTCCTCAAAGTTGAGCCCTCCTGCGCCGCCCTCGCCGTCGCTGTCGTCGACGAGGTCGTTCGCCGCGGCGTCGAGCAGCACCAGCGACCAGGTCGCCTGCTGCACCTCGGGAGCGACGTGCCGCAGCACGGTCGCCTTGGCGCGGCCTGCAGGACATGTGTTTGGCAAGTCACAAGCCACCGTCCATGCCCTCTGCGGCAGGCCGGCAGCAGTGGCGCGGCCGAGTCGCAGCGTGTACTCGCCTGCCGCCGCCTGTGGGGCGCGGGGCGGCGCGGGGCGTCGGGTCCGTGAGGCAGACCTCTCCGCGCGGCAGCGCCTCCCTCGCCTCGACAAACTCGCGCCACAGCTCCTCCACCTGCGCCGGCGGGAGGTGCCACCGGCTCGCGAGGTCCTCGAGCGTGCGGCGCGGGGTCGGCATCTCGTCGCCGGCGCCGCGGGCGACGCCCGCGATGCAGCACTGCAGCAGCGCCGGGCCAGAGCGCTTCTGCCACGGCGACGCGTGCCGGAGCCGCCGCCGGTGCAGCGCCTGCACGTGCGCCCGCTGCGCCTGCATGGCATGGTAGACGCTGCGGCTCTGGTACGCCGCCGTCTCGTCCGTCAGATCGAGGTTGTGAAGCGTGCCCTGGTTGATCCGCTGCGCCTCGTCGGCGAGTGCGCGGGCCAGCACCTCTGCCGCCAGCTGGAAGCGGCCGCGCATCTCGAGCTCGCGCGCCGACTCGTGGGCGAGGCGCACCGAGATGGACGCGTCCGACGGGAGCTCCTCCTCGGGCGGAGGTGGAGGAGGAGGCGGCGGAGGCGCCTCGTCCTCGTCCTGCAGGCGCGCGTACGGCGGCATATGTTGCCGGCCGGCGAGGCGTGGTTCGCCGGTGTTAGAAAGAAAAGATTTTACATAACGTGGGGAGCTTGTGCGTCTTGGAGCCGGGGTTGTGTTTTTCAGTAATATTTTCTTGTCAATAAGGTCTGTGAAGTGTCGCTTGCAGCAAGCGCATCTGCCCCATATGTCTCCTCGCCTCTCTCTGCTGGTGCTCGCCACCGCGCCGCTGCTGGCGTCGGCTCACCTGAACGTGCTGGCCAACCCGCTCACCCTACCGCGCCAGTCCATGCGCGCTAGCCCGTCGCTCGCGCTCGTCGTCGGCGACAGCGCCGCGGGCGAGCTTCTCGTTGACGGCGGCCTCAACTTCCTGAGCCTGTACGGCGGCATCATCACGTTCCGCATCCTGCTCTCGTGGGTGCCGCAGGCGCAGGGCGTCTCGCTCCTCCGTCCCATCTTCACCATCTCGGACGTGTACCTCAACCTCTTCCGCGGCGTCATTCCTGCGATCGGAGGGCTCGACATCTCGCCGATCGCCGCCTTCTTTGTGCTCAACCTGCTCACCAACTCAGTCGCGTCGCTGGGCGCGCCGATGTCCGCGGCGCAGCGGCCGAGGCGCGACGTCGACTCGCGCCTGAGGAACGCGCTGCTGCGCGCCCGCGGCTTGCCCGCATCCGCCTGAGGGATGCAAGCTGCGGCGCAACCTCGCGCCGTGATAGGGCCCGCAGGGCAGGCTCCGCTGCGTACCTCGCGCGCAGAGTCCGGTCATGATGTAAGGCATGCGGTGGTGTACACGTGTCCTTGTCTCCGTTTGCCGTGAGACAACATGACAAGCGGCACACACATACACGACTAGAATCTACACAGAGGGCGCGCCACTGCTCTGGCCTGCTCGGTCTCCCGGACCGGCCGGCGGCGGGGGGATCTCTTCCTCTCGCTCTCGCTCCCCGGCCCGCCCCGCGCGCGAGTCCGGGGTGGCCCACCGGTGGCGAGCCCGACACGTGATTCACGTTACCGCTCCCCCATCCCTCTCAAAACTAATTAGCCTCAGAGGTCCATCAGCGCATCGCCATCGGCACTCCGGCCGCCCGCAGGCCGGCCTCGCCCTCTTGGCGCGCCGCGTCTCGCTTGGCCGCCGCCCGCGCTCCAGCATAGAGCCCCAGCAGCACGAGCCCGGCGGCGGGCGCGAATACGGACGGGACTAGGGCTCCCAAGACGACCCCCGCGCTGCTGCGTGGAGCCGCCGCCCAGAGTGCCGACTCCCCTGCCGGCGGAGGGCATCCCTCGTGCTCCGCCTCGGAAACGATGGCGCTCAGCTCGGCCTCGCCGTACCCGAGCTTCTTCAGCCCCTTCATTAGCACGGCTATGTTCTTGAAGTTTTGCCCGTCGTCGCCGTAGGCGCCGCCCACCTGACTGATGGAGAAGGCCTCCAGAATCGTGCCCTTTCCCAAGCTCATCACCAGCAGGTTGACGGTGTCGTTGTAGGTGTGCTTCTCGGTCTCGTGCCACGCCTGGCCGAGGAAGTGGACCTCGCGCCCGCCGCTGCGCGAGATGTGGTACGGACGCAGGTCCGCAAATCCGTGCGGATTGGCGTGCGTGGGCATCAGGCGAAACCGGCCATCTGGCCCGCCCTCCGACAGAGAGGTGTTCAGCGCTGCAGCAATCGTTGTGGTGACGACCTTGTCCAAGTGGATGGAAAGCTTGCAGCAAGCATTGCCGCAGGTCCCGTGGTCCGCACGGTCGCAGTCGGGCGGGTCGCAGGCGAGCAACGAGGATAGGAGGCTGAGCATTCAGGCGGCCTGCTTCCGAGGCGTTTCTCCGCTCTCGGCCAAGGTCAGCTGTGTTGCTTGTGATAGACCGCCAGAAAAACGGTGTGTCGGATGAGAGGGGTCAGGCTGCCCGTCGAGACCTCGAGAGCTCTCCGACACCTCACAGCTCCCAAACGACATCGATCTCGGACCTGCCGCTTTGCAGGCGCCCTCAGGGTGCACCGACGCCCGCCTCCTCCTCTCCTCAGGTCCGAGATCGATGTCGTTTGGGAGCTGTGCCGCGCGCTCCTGTCGCCTCCGCGAGCGCCTCCTCGACCCGCCGCGGGGCCCGGGCAACGGCCTCGAGCCGCGCTGGCGATGCTCGGCCTGCCTTCTGGCACCCTATCGCACGCACTCCCGCCAGCCGCGCGCTCCCGCGCCGTCGTGCGAGCTTCTGGCGTCATCCGTGCGAGATGCGGCGTCGCGTAGCGGCCACACGCGGATCAGCTCGGTCACCTCGAGCGCGCTCGCTGCCTGCGCGCCAGGCAGCGCTCCTCTCTCGTCGTCGCGGCGACGAGTCGGGACGACGCCGTCGCTCGAGGCGCGTGGCCGGCGGCGCTCCTCTAGGCGGCGCTCCCTCGAGGCGCCGGGCCGACGTGACTGGGGCAGCTGCGGCGCACGACGGTGCCCAATGGCCGCCTCCGCCGTCCCCGGCTCGGCCTGTGGATCAGGGCAGCGGTCTCTCAGCTGTGCCGTCTCTGAACAGACACACTTGAGGACACGCGCGCGCGACGCTCACAGCTGCGTGTGCCGAGACAGCGGTGGTCAGTCTAAAATGTGTCTTGGTCAGTCTGACGGGCCAAAATATTTGAGGAAACACATTTTGCTGTCCTCACGCACTCACGGCCCGCGCATTGCGGCTCCGCCGAGACCTTGTTGGCAAAGTTTGATCGCACGCGCTCGTTCCCACCATCCCAGATCCCACTAAATCGTTGGGCCAGGTACCAATGTTGTCGAATTTATTTCAAAATCTGCAGGCGCGGAGCGCCTGCGAAAATTTTGAAGAAATTTGCAGTCGGGCCTGATTTTCATCAAGATCTTTCAAATTTGCGGTGTGGAGTTGGGGTTGGGGGTGGGTTAGGTTAGGGTTATTATAGGGTTAGAGGGTTAGGGTTAGGGTTAGGGTTAGGGTTAGGGTTAGTCTTGTTGTGTCTGTATATGCCAGCGTTGCAGGGTTCTGCGCTGGGATCTGGCCCCACAGCGCCGACGACTAAGACTCAGCCCCGCACGCTGACCCAGGGTTAGGGTTAGGGTTAGGGTTAGGGTTAGTCTTCTTGTGTTTGTATGCCAGCGTTGCAGAGTTCTGCGCTGGGATCTGGCCCCAGCGGCGACGAGCAAGACTCAGCACCGCACGCTGACCCCACCAAATGCCGCCTCAGGGCGCCAGGCCGCCAGCCACCTCTTACACGCGGCCGGCGCCCTCTCGCGGCAAAAGGGTGTAGGGTCGAGCGAGCGGGCAGAGTCGCAATGTCTGCGCACCCGCGTGCCGATGGGCGGCACACGCAATCACGAGAGGCCCTGTCACGCCGCCAGTAGCGTTCCGCACTCCCCAGCCACGCCACCAATTGCCGCCTCAGGGCGCCAGCCACCTCTTACACGCGGCCGGCGCCCTCTCGCGGCAAAAGGGTCGAGCGAGCGGGCAGAGTCGCGATGTCCCTGCGCACCTGGGTGTTCGCCGCCTATATGCTCTATCCTGTGCCAAGACGGACACGTTTTGACAATCAAAATCTACCTCAATATTTGCGGCCGCCCCTCGAAATTTGCTGATCAAAATTTGCGGTGGCCCGGATCGAAACCTGTACTTTGGCCAACTAAATCGTCACGGCCCCGTAACACCCCCTCCGCGCGCGCGTCAAAGGCTTCCCAGGGCCGGTCTATGACATGAACCGATAGACACAAGCAAAAACACCGCACCTCTAAGCTTCTCGGGCACCCCGAGGCCAATACGGCGCCCCGGCGGGCCCCGGCGGAGGTCCGGCGCGGCGCTCCAAATCCGCACTCTTCGCGAGCTTCTACGGGAGTTCACGCGGCCTCTCCGCCTCGTGAGGCACACCCCACACCCACCACGAGTCCTGGGGCCGTGGGCGGACCTTTGGCCGCGGCGTCCGGAGCTTTGGTCGTCGAACATCGGCCGCCAACTAAAGGCCATCGAGCGAACGTGTCCGGAAAGGCTCTCTGATGGGTCCGGCAGCGGTCCCATGGACCCAGAATCTCGCCCCTGCTGAGCATTCACGGCTCGGCCCCCGCCCCTGGTCACCCAGACGTGCCCTTGGACAGCCGTAGGGGCTCGGATGACGACGTTGGCGCCCGCGACGACGCCCTCCCCGACGACGTCGCGTCTCACTGGCAGACACTACTCCTGAGCCCTGGCTGTCAGGCTGTCAGGTGCTGTCAGGTGATCTGTCAGGCTGTCGGGCAGCTGTCAGGCGCTGTCAGGTGCCTCTGTCAGACCAGCTGTCGGGTGCTGTCAGTGCTGTCAGGTGCTGTCGGGTGCGTGTCTGACATCAGAGGGGATCTGTAGCTGTCAGGTGCTGTCGGAGCTGTCGGGTGTTGCTGTCAGACGCTGTCGGAGCTGTCAGAGCTGTCAGGCTGCTGCTGCTGTCAGACGTTGGGCTGTTGCTGTCAGGTGCTGTCAGGTGGTGCTGTCGGGTGCTGTCAGGCTCTGACACACACCAGCCACACTTATGACACTATCAAGAGGAGACCAGCAGGACTCTACTACACATACATACTCTAGCCTCTACTCTGCCTCCGGTCCCACCATCTTTTTCATGGTGGACGTCACCATCTTCTTGTCTGCCGCACTGAGAGAATAGCAGAGAGGCAGGGTGGAGTGCTTCTTCAGGTACACCTTGCTGATGATCTGGTAGTTGCTGGTCCAGCGGAAGGCCTCCCCATCGTTGTCGCTCGTCAGCTTGTAGTACTTGCACGCTCTGTTCTGGTAGCGCGGGCCGTCTGGGGAGGTCCCGTCACCCTTCACCTCACGGTACCACCGGAGGATAAAGAGGCCCTTGGGGTCGTTGATGAAGACCCCGTTGCTGCGCTGACTCATGGAGAGCTGGCGCAGGTACTCTGCGCTGGAGCTGCCAGTGGCGCGGCGCGCGTCTACTGTGCCGTCGGCGACGGCCACCTGCTCAATGTTGCCGATGGCAAAGACCTTGGAGCTGTCCTCCATGGTGAAGAGCACCGCAACTGCGAAGAGAAAGAGAAGAGGGAGAGATGAGGATGCACGTCTTATGTGTGTGTGTGACAGGCGGGCAAGGGCGTGGTCACCGTCATCATCATCCATGTAGAAGTCGAGCTCCTCATCCACATCCTCGCCCCGCTGCTGATGGGACTTGATGAGCCGCTTGACGTGGAAGCGGAGCTTGCGATCCTTTGACTCCTCCTGGATGGAGACGTTGAAATCTGCCAGCAGCTTACCCTCAATGGGGCACAAGAAAGAGGCTCTACGGGGTCTGTGTACGGTCTGTGCTGCTGTCGGGCTGTCAGGCTGTCAGCGCTGCTGTCAGGCCACTGTGTGCTGTCGGGCTGTCAGGCAGCTGTCAGGCTGTCACGTTAGGGCCTGACAGCGACGGAACCCCTCGCTTGCCAGACTCTGCTGTCCGGCTGTCAGATACGTGCTGTCAGGCTGTCAGAGAAAGTGCTGTCAACGCTGTCAGGCTGTCGGGCACTGTCAGGCGCTGTCCGGGGTTTGCTGTCAGGCTGTCAGACCAGGGCTCAGCACTACTCGCGTACTCGGGCGCGGCGGCGCGGATAATCACATGGTTTGGGACTCTGAGCGATGGCAGAGGCCTTTATTTGCAAACGAGGACGCCCCGCGAGGCCCCGTCGGCCGGGAGTGGTGAGTGGGACCATAAACAAGCACTATATCCCGTGCCGCGACCAGCCCACTCACAGCCCAAACCGCTGCCAAACCGGCCCTGATCACGCCGGCCGGGAGGCTGCCGGGGCGCCCAAACAGTCCCTCACGAACGCCACACGGGCCACCACGGCCCGTCCGGCGGCCCGAGTGCCGCCCCACACCCGCCCGACGCCCTCGGCCAGCCAGCGCCCACTCTGAGAGGCTTCACCGCCGCCAGCGCGCCGAGCGCGCCGCCCTCTCCTCGCGCCACACGGGCCCCTGGCCGCACGCCCGAGAGGCGGCCCATAATTTGAGTCGAGACGCGCCGCCGGCCAGCCAGCAGCTCGCCCGCCACCCGCAGAGTGCCGCCGCCGCCCCCAGCCCGCACTGGAGAGGCTCTCCCGGCCGCTAGCCGCTGTCGCGTCGCCCGGCGGCTGCGCTGGCAGCGTGGCGGTGAGGGCGGTGGGGGAGATGGCGGCGGCGGGCTGGGCGGTGGCGGTGAGGGAGCTGGCGGCGACGGGGGCGGGGGTGACGGTGGCGGCGGGCTCGGTGGCGGCGGCGAGGGCGGCGGCGGCGAGGGCGGCGGCGGTTAGGGCGGAGGGGGAGAGGGCGGGGGAGGGCTCGGCGGTGGCGGAGACGGGGGTGGTGGCGAGGGCGGCGGAGGCGAGGGCGGGGGCGGGCTCGGAGGCGGTGGTGACGGGGGTGGCGGCGAGGGCGGCGGTGGCGAGGGAGGCGGCGGCGATGGCGGGGGCGGGCTTGGGGGCGGAGGGCTGGGCGGTGGTGGTGATGGTGGCGGAGGGCTGGGCGGCGGCGGGGATGGTGGCGGAGGCGACGGCGGCGGCGGCGACGGCGGAGGCGGGCTTGGCGGGGGCGGGG